CAAGTCATCAATTAATAATATTCATATAATTTATACAATAGTGAGACACTACAAATGAAAGTTATACAACTAAAAAAATTAATTTATCATGTGAAATGAATGAATACATATTTGTTTTAACCTACAAAGTGTTAACTCATATCTATTTTTGCATAATACAGTTGTATTTTGTGTAAAAAAGAATGAAAAATGGGAATGAACCCCTGTTTGGTGATTAGAAAAAGGGTGAGGGCAATATATCAGGGATAAAGCCCTATTTTCATGCAAGAAAATAAAATATTGGGAAAAAGCCTCTGTTTGTACATGGAAAAAGGGTGAAAAGTAAAAGGGCAGAGCCCCTGTTTTTATTCAAAACGAAAGGGTGATACTAGGTACCCATGGTTTTCATGAAAAAATGAATGAAAGACCTGGGGCGGAGCCCCTGTTTTCATGCCAAAAGTTGATTGAAGCAAGTAGGGTGGAGCCCCTGTTTTCATGGCAAAAAATGACTGAAATAAATGGGGCGGAGCCCCTGTTTTCATGCCAAAAAACCAACTGAAATAAGAGAGAAGAAACAAGAAGAGAGGAAAAGGATGAGGAAGAAGAAAGAAAGAACAGTAGAAATCAAAAGAAGAAGAGGAACAGTAAAACAACAAAAACCATTATAGATGACAGAAAAACAATAGAAATCAAAAAAATAAAATAAAGTCCCTTACCTTTCAACACAGACCAGTAGAGAAGGAAGTTTGGAGCTTCACCAAAAAACTGGAGGAGGGTTTCTTCTCTCCCAGTCTCCTGCCTAAGTCTTTTCCTTGAATGGCAAGTCTTCTTTGATTGACCAAAGTGGGTATTCTATGTTTTATACTTAACATGATGATTCTGCCCCTCTTTATAAAAGTGAATCTTTAAAAAGGAAGAGGGTTAAATGGTCATTTAATCTCAAATGAAGCTTTCAAACTATAGCATATGAATCGTGATTTATGATTTAGACTACTGATTTGATTACAAATCATACGATTAATTCAAAAAACGATTTACACATACGATTTGTATCGTTTTAGCCCTGATTTGATTTGAACAGTACAATTCAAATCGTGTATCGCACGAATTTGAAAACATTGGATGCAGCCACAGCTAACGCTAAGGCTTCCTGATTCTCTGAGCTGGAGGAAGAGAGAACTGCTGCATCTTCTGCAAAACTCCTCTTATCTGAGATCTGCCCTTGGGGCTTCTTCCCTGCCCGCTGAAAATGTCGCTTCTCCTTCCTTCGAACCCCCTTCTAACTGACTGGTGCAAGGAGATTGCTCACATTCTAAGTTAACCTTGGATGACCTTCTTGAAGTGTCTCTTTCTCAGAGCGGAGCTCCTTTTCCTTCTCTCTCTCTCGTGCCTCCATTCTTCGCTCCAAAGATCAGTGAAGCTCGAGCCTTCTCCAAACTCAGATCCCTCGTAATCTGAAGAAGATGACGGCGAAAGTTCTAATTGGGCTTTGCCTTTCCCTTTGCCCTCCCCCCTCCCCACACCTAGGCCTGAACCTGGCCCTTGGCTTTTATCTGGGCTTTTGAAGCGCATTGGTCAGGGTTCCATTGGGGTAATACATGATTCGTCCCTTTACTTTGGTTGCAGATAAAGCCCATGGGGCCCATAGACGGTTCAGCTGCTTTGGAATTAAGGCAGGCCGCTACTGCATTAGCTAACTTGTTGATGAGGTTTATGTCAACCACGTTGGAAAGCATGGTGTTTGAAATTTGAAAAGAAGCTGACTTTTGTCCTTCATTCACAGACAAAAATCCACGGCAGCCATTAAATCCCCTTTGATTTCTATGGCTGAGATTTCGTTTTCTTCCTTTCCTTCGTTCTACCACCGTCCAACCCCCCTCCTCAAACTCCGGCGACTGATGTAGACCCCTGCAGATTCCTTTTTGCTAACCTCTTTTTCTGGGTTTACCATCACTGACCTCACTTCCTCTACAGTCAGCAAGCGTTGTCATTTTCTCTGTTCTAATTTCTATAACTCATTGCTGATCCTATTACAACCAAGTGAAGCAAATGCAACCCTACCCACCAAAATAACTAACTAAATAAATAAATTCGTAAGGCTAACACCGAATCAGTAAAGTGTTCAAATATGATCTGGCCTTATCCTGTTAGAGCTAAATAAAGCAAAGGTAAACCACCTCTTCAATAAATCATTATCGTTTCTCCAACCCAACTAAGCCTTATCCCAATTATATAGGGTTGGCCATGCAAATCCTGTTCCACCATTCCACTCTGTTTTGTGCCATGACTGTTGTTAAATTGTAATCATTTCTCACTAGTCACTAATTCAAGCCATGCTCTTTGTGGTCTTCCCCTAGACTGAACCTGGTGATTGAAGGGGACTCCAAAGTGGTGGTAGGTTGGCTAAGAGATCCGGAGTCAGTGGTTTGGTGTTATAGAAATGAAATGAAGTTCCAGTGGTTAACACAGCAGATGAATCTTAAGTATAGAATGGGTGGGGAGGGAGGCTAATGCATTGGCTGATTCATTAGCTAAGCAAGGGGTAATTAGGGATCAGTTGTATTGGGTGCAATTGTAATTACTGTGCTATCTCTGATTTAATAGTGAGGCTGCAACTTGTGCCTCCCTTTGGGATGCTTGTAACAGTGCCTATCTTTATTGATTTCAATGATTTTTTTGATAAAAGTAAAATATAATGTTGTATTAACTGAGAAAAAATACACAAGTATGGTCCTCTATATTTTGTACAAAAAACACCTTTAAGGACCCCCAAAAAAATTTACATTCAAGAAAGTGGACGAAAGGTCATCAGAACTGAAACATGTAAGGGTAGACAGCCATGCTCTCAACAGGCCAACTGCAGAATTGATAACCACCTCATCTGGACTCAATTTCTGCTAAAAAATTCTACTATTGCTTTCAGACCAGATTGTGCACAAACACTGCTAGAGGAACCACCTCCCAACAAGCTTTCCCTCTCTTGGACATTCCTTGAATCCTCCACCCTGCTAACAGGTCCTTCACAGAGTTCGGGAAGAACCCTATAACTGGATCAGAATTTCTGAAATGATTCCAGACTTTAGAAGAGAAGCTACATAATAGGTACAGATGATTCACAGTTTCCCTATGGGCATTGCAGAGGGAGCAATCCACGTTTGCTAGATTAGCTCCTTTCTTGACCAGCAGATCCTTAATTAATCATTTCTCCCAGACCACTACCCAAGCAAAAAATTTCACTTTTGGGGGAGCTGCATTTCCCCAAATTGCTCTATAAGGAAATGAACTATCCTGCTCACTCACTAAACCAGTATAAAAATGAGCTGACTGAGAACACCCCTGACTTGGACCATCTCTACTGCCTTAAATCTTGATGATTCACATTGACTTGCTGGTTGTTAAATAGAGACATCAATGCTGCCACAGTTTGCACCTCTCAGTCAAAAAAATTTCTTCTAAAAGCAAGGTTCCAAGTACCCGAAGATCCATCAGCTTGAAAGCACTCAGCCTCTGTTACCTCTTTGTTGCCAGCCAAAATAGACAGATCAGGGAACTTATCCTTCAAAGCCAACTCATCACACCAGGGTTCCAACCAGAACCTTATTCTAGATCCATTACCCAAGAGGAGCTTTATCCCTCTTGAGAATGCAGGGAAAGCTTTACAGATTCCCCTCCACACTCCACAGCTGAAGGACATAGTGGAATACGTTGCATCCCAACCATTATCATTTAAGCTGTATTTCTCCTCTATCAACTCCCTTAACAACTCATTAGGATTTGAGCCATATCTCCAGAACCATCTACACAAAAGAGCACATTGAAACTTTTGACTTTTCTTATTCCAAGCCCAACATTAGCAATCAGCCTGCAGATAAGGTCCCGGCTCACAAGTGATATTTCTCTTTGTCTTTCTTGCCTTTCCACAAAAAATCCCTCATAGCCTTCTCAAGCTTATCTGCCACCTCCCTTGGAATTGGGAAGATGGATAGATAATAAGCTGGAAGGTTTGACAGGACACTCCAAATTAGAATTAATTTACCTCCCTTGGAAAGATAGTGGGCCTTCCAAATACACAACTTTTGACATTGGGTTCTGAAGATCATGATATCTTGTTAGATTGGGCCTGTCTATTGAAACCAAATAAGCAACTTTTGACCCCCAAGACTTAATCTGCAAGAGAAAAAAAGAAATGATTACAATTTCAACTTCTCTAAATGAAGAATAGTTTGATTAAGAAAGTTATTGAATTCCAAGATAACTGTAATAAGGCTCTTTAAATTAACCAATAAAAAATGACTCTTTATTTTGGGACTAGTATGACAACTGGAAAGTTGAAAAATAGCAACTAGAAAATAGAAAATAACTCATAAAGGCTAAATTGGCTCATAACAAAAAACAAAAAAAGTAGTTGAAAAAAAAATCATTCATCAAAAAACAAAAAACAAAAAATTGCAAAGCTGCCACTAAAGAAAAATAAATTGAGTGAAGCTTTCTTCTTTCTCAAGAGGGTATCTTTCAGTTGAAAAAAAAATCACATGATGGATATATGGAGGCTTAGGCCCTGTTTGGTGCGTCTTTACATGCAAGCTGTCGGCTTTTTAGAAGCCTGACAGCCCACGTTTTGGTATTTTCCTGTTTGGTTGGGTAAAAGATCTATTCGCGAAAGCCCCGAGAAGACATGGGAAGCCCGTTCCACACTATTTTTGGGAAGCTCCAAATGGAGCTGTTCGCCTTTTTTTTTTCAACTCATCTTTGCGCGGAAAGATGCGCCTTAACCAAACAGTCTTCAAGCTGCTAAGATCTTGATGCAAAAGCTCACATCATCTTTTGACTGTCAGAGCTTCCAGAAGATCTTTCAAAAAAGACTTGCCAAACGGCCTTAGCTTTTTTATAGAATCTTTGCCTATACTGATCTCTTTTTTTATGTATTCTAATTATTGGTGTCTCTGGCAATCAGTTCCACGCCCATTCATTTTTATTTATTTATTTATTTTTTTTTGACAATCACTCCAATTGTCATGTAGGCATTTGAATACAAGAGGCTGTTGCAGGATTACAATAGAGAGGTTCGGCGAGCTACTAATGACACCATGACTAATTTTGTCATCACCGTCGGGTTTGAACTTATCCTATGCATATCAGACTCATTAATCTTAATTATCATTAGAAAGATCAGAATAGCATTTCCAGAATTTTGGAATCCTTAAAGTTGATATGAAATGATTTTTCTCTTGCCATGATATCATCAGCTGTCATGCCTGTAAGTATAGATAAAATTTGTATACCTTTGACATACTGTCACTCCTGAGGAGTTTCCAATTAATTTTCTTTGGGGGATTGGCAACAGTAACAGAATTCTATATACATAAACACACACACACTTATATATATATATATATATATATATATATATATATATGATAAATACATCATTACAGGATGTATCAACAAAAAGAAGGGAAGGTCACCCCCAAATTGTGTGTATGGAATAGCTGCCTCATCGTCCAGAAGACAAAAAGTAGTTTTGGAGTCGTCACCCCCAAATTGTGGTTGGAAGAAACTGAACTTTATTGGGAGTTGTGTGGGCAATCTGGGCCCCTCAGGTGTTGGAGGGTCATTAGGGATGAGGAAGGTAACATAATAGCCTTATACTCGGGCCCAACTGAGCAAGGTGATGTGGTTAGATCTGAATTATTGGCCGCAGTTCATGGGGTTGAGAAGGCCAAAGAATTGGGTATTAATAGACTGATTATTGAGGGTGATTCGAGAACAGTTGTGGAATGGATGAAAAAGGGGGAGGGGGTCGCATGGCACTTAAGGAATGAAGTTGAAAGGAGCATTCATAATAACCCCCTTTGCAACATTTTCCAGAAAGGGGAAAGGCCTCAGAGCCAAATGAAACCTGCCAACAACTCAGTTCCGGTGTTTCTTGTTCTCTTCCTGTCTTACCAGGTATGGATGTTTATTCATTTTTGCGTACTGACTTGTGTGCTGTGCCTGAAACAGATACACCAGCTTCCCACATAGGAGGAGTTGACGAAAGAGAAAGGGTGATAGTGGAAGGAAAAGAGAGGGTGTTGGAAGGAAGTAGTAAGGGGACAAGTGAGGAGGCAGATAGAATCCGGAAACCGATCTGTACTGGTTTGGAGGAACTTAAACAGAAGGAAGGGTTTGTGGAAAGCTATTGTGACCAAAATGAGAGCGAGTGTTGCAAAAAATTATTTCATATAAATAGGGTAGGAAAAACAGTAGAACTGGCACCACAGACTAAGAGAGGATATCAAATGGCTGGAAAGGTTGGAGATAAGGAAGAGGATAAAACTTGTATTAGGAAGGGTGAGGAAAAAAGAAGAAAAAAAGATCTGAAGTAGAAAGGCTAATCTCGGACATTGAAGGAGATTTAGAATTCAATGGTAGAGGGAATAGGAAGAAGGGCCTAAAAGAAGGAGACTGAGGCTTCTTGTTGGGTGTTATGCTACTACATTTTTCCCATGAAATTTAATAGCTGGAATGTAAGAGGCCTAGGGAGTGCAAGAAAGAGGAGGATGATCAAAGATCTACTTAGGAAGGAAATACCGGATATTGTGCTATTACAAGAATTCAAATTAATGGAACTAGATGGAAGTTGGGTTAGAAGTATCTGGAGGTCTAGAGGTGTAGGTTGGACTTCAACACCCTCATGGGGAGCTTCGGGGGAGGGGGGGGATTGTCACAATGATTTAGTGGAAGCAATGGAAGAATTAATAGGTAGATTATCAATATCCATTAAGTTCAGGAATGTAGAAGATGGGTGTGTGTGGGTTTTAACCAATGTCTATGGCCCTAACTCCTATTGAGAGAGAATTGAAATGTGGGAGGTGTTATATGCAATCAAAGGGTTATAGGATGGCCCTGGTGCCTAGGTGGGGATTTTAATGTAATTGGATTCTTTGAAGAAACTAGTAATCCCCAACAGGCAATTACAATTAGTGGTTTCATTGAAGATTGTGAGTTGAAGGAAATCACACTTCTACAAACCATATTTACTTGGTCCAACCTTTAGGAAACCCCTTTCGTTTGAAATTGGACAGGTTTTTCTTTAACTTAGATTGGGAGAGCAGTTGGGAAAACTTGGTTGCCAGAGCTTTGCCTACGGTTACTTCTGATCATTGTCCTATGATCCTATCAAGATAGGGCATGAAGTCCTTTGCTATTGGACCTAAACCTCTTAGATTTGAAAATATGTGGCTAATCCAGCTGATTTTGTGAACAAAGTGAAGGAATGGTGGGTGAGGAGATGAGGGGGTAAGATGGAAGGGGGTTAGGTTTTATAAGAAATTTAAGAGGTTAAGATCCAAAATAAAAGAGTGGAATAGGGATCATTTTGGAAGACTCGAGGAACAAAAATTGAGTTTGATCACTTGGATAGAAGACTTGGATTTGAAAGAAACTCAAAATGTTTTGACTGAGGATGATGGAGGGCTGAGGAGATAATTGAAAAAAAGATTTGAAAGAGGTACCATTGAGGGGAGAAATTAGTTGGAGACTAAAATCTAGGCACAAGTGGATTAAGGAAGGTGATGGGACTACCCGATTCTTTCATGACTTGGCCAATTGGAGGAGGAGAAAGAATTTTGTGACCAAGTTAGAGATAGATGAGGAGGTGATTACCAATTAGGATGATATAGTCAGGAAGTTTGTGGACCATTTTAAACTTCCTGACTTGGTCTATCAAGGCAAGCTAATTTGGCAACACCTTGGAAGGCTGTTCACAACACCCTTCCTCAATATCTCAGGTTTGTTAGGTATGAAGTTTGTTTTGATAATGCTGTCTAATTTTGGGAGGACATTTGGGTAGAAATACCCCTTTAAAGGACCTTTTCCCTTTGTTGTTTTCTCTCTCTTTGTATAAAAAAGAGGTGGTCTCAAAATTTGTCTCACCTTTGGGAACACCCTTGACTACTAATTGGGATTTCGGGTTTTGTAGGGGATTAAGGGACAATGAAATTGACTCCCACTCTGACTTGCTTTGTTTCCTTAATCGGGTTTGCTTGGATCCTTCCAAGCCCGACAAAAGGGTGTGGGCTTTTAGGCCTAAAGGAACTTTTACTTGTGCTTCTTACTTCAAGTCCATCTCTCAGTCCTTTGTTCAACAGCTTTTTTCTTCAAAGGAAATTTGGTGCAGGTCAGTTCCCCAAAAGATTATGGATTTTTGTTGGGAAGTGTACTATGGGAAAGTAAACACTCTAGATAACTTACAAAAGAGAAGACACTTCCTTCGTATTTCTCCCAACTGGTGTACCCTTTGTAGAGATCATGGGGAGGATTGTTACCATCTACTAATATCTTGTCAATTTTCTACAGACTTGTGGGCTTGGCTACTCTTGTTGTTTGGGTGTAGCTGGAGCTTGCCAGCAGAAGTACACATGATCTTTGACCATTCTACTTTCTTTTAGCCTACAAAAAGAGGGAGAATTATGTGAAGATATGCTCAAGCCGCTTTGATTTGGACTTTATGGGAAGAAAGGAATGCTAGAATCTTTCAAGAGAAGGAAAGGAGCAGCCAGGAATTGAAGGGCTATGTGTTGAATATGACAATACTTTGAAGACTTTGGAAAATTTTCATCATTTCTCATTTAATGACTTTTGGATAAACTGGTCAGCAGTAGCAAGGTGCTTTTCCATTAAGAATAAGGTAGTTACAAGTTGGTTTCCTCCATCCGAAGGCTCACTAAAGATGAATTATGATGGAAGCAGTTTGGGCAATCTGGGGTTATCTAGAATGGGGGTGTTCTGAGGAATGAGTTTGGAGAGGTTGTTCTGCTCTACTTGGGCCCTTTAGGATTCAGAGATTCTGTTAGGACAGAACTATTAGCTGCTGTACAAGGGGTGAAATCTGCAAACCAATTGGGGGTAGAGCATTTAATTATTGAAGGGGATTCCAAGATGGTGTGGGCTGGTTGAAAAACCCCAAGGATATTATATGGTGCTACAAGAATGAGATTAAGAAGTTTAATTGGCTGACAAGGAATATGTTAGTTTCTATACAGTGGGTGGGGAGATCAGCAAATGCTTTGGCTGATGTGTTAGCCAAGCAAGGGGTAAATAGGGAAGGACTGTTTTGGGCTCAGCTGTGATTTCTGTAATTTATCCCTAGTTTCCTTGTAAACTATTGGGAGAGGCTGCAGCTTGTGCCTCTCCAAGGGATGCTGTATGAAATTACAAATCTAAATCAGTTTCTGAATTAATAAATTTCATTATTACTCTAAAAAATTGGCTGTCAAAAGACATGATGATCCAAGTTAAATGGGTTAGTAGAACTGTGAATAGTCTGGTAGATGGTTTACTAAGCAAGGGGTACTAAAACAATCCTTGTATTGGGCTCAATTGTAATATTTGGGTTGGGTCAGCTCTACTTAAGCTATTTTTTTTTTCTTTTTCTTTCACAACCTCTTGTTGTAATTCTATGCTCTAATTTTTAGTGAAATTATTTCTATGTTGCTGATCAAAAGAAAAAAAAAAGAAAAGAAATTACAGAAAATAGAGGGGCTCAGCCTCTATTTTTGTCCTAGGAAAAGAAGAAAAGAAATGAAATACTGAAAGAAGATGATGAAGAAAATAATCAATATGTGTTGATTGGATAAAATTTTGAGTTCTTCCATGCTCATCAGTTCACGTTTTGAAGTTTTCGAGGGTTCACAGCAGTATATATGTTGATTGAAACCCTAACGAATGAGAAAAATGATAAAAAGGAACTAGTGTTTTAACTTAAACTGAATAATTTAGTTTAATAGTGTCTTCTTTGTTATTATAATCTCAAAAAGTTAAGAATATAAAAGTATCCAAGAGCACCATTTAAAAATGTCGTGGCGGTTAAGCAAGGCAACCCTCTATGAGCGTCTTATCACTGTGACAACTATGGACGAATCATCAGCCACTTGCCTTCTTTCTCTGTTGGCAGTGTGGTACAACAGCTCTTTCTATTATAGACTACAGAGCAGGTTTTTTTTCCAGTACTTTTCCCCCCTCCTAAATTACTTAGTTTTCCATTCACCAAACTGCTCTCCACTGATATCAGAAACTCCATGCTGAATATTTTCTCTTTCTTCAGCTTCGCCTCCAAAAAATTCAATGTTCTTTTTTTATGAATAAAAAACTCCATATTCTTGTCTATCTGTTCCTGAATTTGCCCACACTAAAATGTATTTTCACCTTCATTTCCACTCATACTCTCCAAAATCTTTTCTTTTCCCTCACATGACTTGCCTAATACCTTGCATCTACCATTGAAATCCTCAAAATTGCATTGGTCATTGTTACCACTTTTGTACCAACATCTCTGACCTCTGCCTCTTCTTCAAATGCTAATGTTTTGACCTTATTTTCTGGTCCCATTATTATGGTAGTTCCACACAGAGTTCTCTGTATTGTAAGGGCTGAAATTGGGGAAATCCCTACAACATGATGATCTAGAAATGGAAGGGGATTGTAGAATAGTTGTGGGCTGGTTTAAGAAAAAAATATGGATTCTTGGATGTATTGACATGTTACTAGAGTGGTAAAAAGTTGGCTCTGGAACCAGAGGTAACTTTCACTAGACTCTGAGATCAGCCAATTGTTTGGCTGTTGGGCTGGCCAGACATGGTGCAGCCAGGAGATAGCTTTTTTGGGTGGTTACTTCCCAAGATGGAGGTTTGTAAGTAACAACTGTAAAATGATGAGGGGGTTAGAAGATTCTAGTCCACATAGAGGGAATTGACAATAATTCATGTACATCTAAGGTTCAAAGTATCAGAAACGCAAAGTGTATAAGAAAGGCAATTTTAAGAGACGTATTGGGATATGCTTTGGATATGCATAGATACAGACGAAAAACCAAGATACACATGGATACACTAGGAAACTCAAATAAATCTTAAAAAGTATATTAATAACAATAAGTACAATATATATATGACATTAAATAAGTAATTAAATATAAAAAACCTTACTCTAATGGTTTATATAAGGTGTGAGATATCGAGGCACAATCGGTAACTATTGAAAAATGATGGAAAAAGTAAAATGTGTACATATATATACCTTGATTTTCAGAAATCAATATAATTTGTCTTAATAATTGTTAATATATAAATTTTAATAATCAATTTTAGCATTTATTGAGAAACATCTAGGGGTGGTCATCTCAGCCCAGCCCAACTTGGAAATTCCAAGTTTGGGCCTGGATTTTGTGTTCAGTAACAAACAAACAAAGAAGATAACAAAAGGCAAGAAGAAAATACTCTGCCATTTCTATTGTAGAAAACAGAAATAAAACTCTTTTATTACTGCCCATCAATAGGAATAACAGCATAAAATGCTTAGAAGAACTGTCAGCCTCTATTTTTAGACTAATAAGAAACAAAGCAGCAACTTCCTAATTAGATTCAAGCTCTAATGAAAAATAGAAACTTCCTATTCAAACTATCAAATCTTTATAACTCTCAAGTCTCAACTAATTCTACTAAAATTATCACACCAAAATTACTAAAAATAGTAGGTTTCTTTTTTACCATAAATGATAATTACTATAAATAGTATTTTTCTGTTTTACTAATGGTCAATTTCTAGAAGTTTGAAACTTAATCTATGCCTAAGGCAGAAGCAAACTAGAAAATAAATTTGAAAAACTCAACCACTAAAATCCAAATCGCCTAAAAATTCTGAAATTGCTACTAGTTCAAGAAAATTAAAAGTTTTGATTTCTTCTTCTTCTTCTTCTTCTTTTGGTAAACCTGTCTTTCATTAACACACAAGAAAACAACAGAACACAACAAGCAACAAGAAAACAAATTACCAACTACACAGCAGGGTTTCTAACTAGAGCACTGAAGCTGTGAGGAAAGAAATCCTTGAACATAGCCAACTTGTGAGCAGCAAAGTTAACATCTTGAGGCACCCAAGCAAACTTCACTGGACTACCTTCACAAAGAAGCAAAATATCCCTGTTGATGAAGAGAATATCTTGGTGACAGTCCACCGACCTGGAGCTTAAACAGTTGACAATATGCAAGTTGTCTAACTCAAAGATAACTTGATCACACTTGGTAGAGACCACCACCTTGATTGCTTCAAAAAGAGCAAGAGCTTCAGCCAAAACTGGGGAAGAGGCAGCAACCTGGCCACCACCACCCCACTAAACTACACCATTGCTGTCACAAGCTAGGGAACCAAAAGAAGCTTTATTGGACAAGGTTAAACCACCACTTCTTCTGTAGTTTCTTTTTTTGCTTCCATGTTTGCACCAGTTTACTGGGGTTCAGCTCTTCAAACTACACCCCACTAAACTACACCATTGCACCACTTCTTCTGGGGTGTTTGGGGAGGTTGTCTTGTGGCAACCCTGGTTTCTTTATTTATTTCCTTTTTTCCTGATATTGTAGTTTTTTCTTATTTTTTATTAAGTTCACTTTATCTGGTATATATATCATCATCATCATCATCCAAATTGTATCCCTACTATATTTAGTATGGTTAAATCACTCCTTTGTGAACCTAAGATTCCTTGTTTGTGATCTGGCATAGCTTGCTATTCTTTTTTTACTTTGTAATTGTAGAAGTCTTCAATGAGCATGCTTGTGACAATAAAACATGGCTTCCAGGAGAGGATTAGCTCCGCATCTGAAGTCCTTGATGGGGCCTTGGTGGTTTTCTCAGTTTGACCCAGTTCCTGAGGTTTATCAGTCTGCAAGACGATCATTACAGGTATGGTACAATATCATCTGTACTGTTGGCACGATTTCAAAATCATCATAATTTGTCATATTTGAGCCAAAATGCCACTTCCAAAGTATGATATTGTGCTTAATAGGCATAGTCGTATATGCCAGTAGGAGATTAGTGGTTTCCTTTTTATTTTTCCATGTTTATTAATGTTATCTTCTATTCTAGTTCCTTCTTTTTTTTATCAAGAACTGATAGTCATTTATTCAAGAAAAAGGAGTATGCAAGTTGTGATTAGAGTGTATCTTTTTTTCTTTATTTTACAGCTTAGCCCAGCCCTTTGCTGCTTTCCCCATCTCACACATAAATCTTCAAATTTACAATACCTCCTTTTGTAAAGGATACCCTTAAATTAATTTACAATACCTTCAATTTTGTACTTTTTCGATCAGATTAACTGATAAATTGGATCAGACTTGGATGTTGCTGGATTCTATCTAAATCCTACCCGATATAGTCCTGCATAAAGGTCTCTATTTGTCATCACATTACAAGTACTGGTTGTACCATTTAATCTTTCTAATGAACACATTTACTTTTTGTTGCTGATAAAAAATTAAATAAATAAATAAAAAGATATAGTCCTGCTTAAGGGGCTATGCTCTTCTTGGTATTCTAGGTACACTAATTCTTATCTGTTTTTATTTGGTGATTTGTAATTGCATTATAATGTGCATTTTCAATAAACACCATGCTCTTTGATGAACCATTGATTTAAACTTAATTTCCCTTTTCAAGCACAAGGAAGTGAATGAGATTTTCTACCGTTTAGTATTACTGTTTTATAATTCAACTTATTACATGTTTGAAGTGATCAATTGTTTCAAAAAGATTAATATGCCATAACCATACCTAATTTTATTTTCCTTTGGAGCCCCGCACTGTTGCCTTCCCTGTGTTTTTTCTTGGTGTTTCTTTTTTTTTTTATGATGCATGTTTGCTTGTTTTGTACTTTGTCCCAATCATTTATTAACTAAAATTTAAGTGGAAATTGTGTTCATTTATGTGGTTATTTCTGACCATTAAACTATTAATGCAGGCAGCCTTTCCAGCACAAGAGAAGAGATTAGATGCATTGAGTCTGTGTGCAAATGAAATACTTCTATACATAGAAGAAAATCTAAAGCTCACACCACAAGCTATATCCGATAAAGTGGCTCCATTGGATGAACTGGAAGATATACACCAGCGTGTACACATTTTATTTTCAAAATTTCCATTTTGTATTCATTTATTGGCTCAGATCATTGTTAGCTGTTCGCTTTAGAAGTCCAGCATCATTTATCTTTCATAATTCCAATTATGCCAATGAACTTTGTGTGCGTGTGTCAGAAACAATTTTTTCACTTTCCACTCTTCTCATTTTAGGATGTGCTGTTGCCACTGAGTTATTCTTTTCAGAATAATATGAATAGATTAGTAATTTTTCAGTTACTGATCTTGTTACAATGAAGATTGGATATTTCTTTTCAGTTATTCAAAAGTTTTTTTAATCCAATATATATAATAAATTTATATAAATATAATTTATTGAAATTATTAATTATAAATTTTATATAATTATAGCCCTACCTTTTAACTGAGAGATATAGGGCTGGATGTGTTGTACTTTTTTTAATTTATTTACATCCTTATACTTTTGGGATCCTAAGTATAGTTTGGATCATTTTGCAAAATTTTTAACTATTATTTATCCTATACTTTAATGAAATTGCTAGTTACCTTTCAGAAAAGATAGCTCTTCTATTGGTTGTTTATATTTCCTACTTTTTGATTAAATTGAGTCCATCAAGTCATTATCTGTCTTATCTTGTTGGTTTTTCTTAATGGGTTATAATCCCTGGATATGATAAGATAGTGCATCAGATTTATCTGTAAATTATAGTTTTTCTTATGTTTTGTCCAAGCTATTGGTCCTTCCCTAATGCTATATTTAAAATTCCTCCTTGGGTTGCAGGTAATTTCTTCATCATTACTAGCATTGGCTACACTTCTTGATATTTTGTTGGGAATGCAAGTGCAAAGACCTGGTTTTGAAAACGTGATTGCTGAACCAAAAAATGCATCTAAGGCCAGGACAACTGTTATTTCTTCTGCTGAAAAGATGTTTTCCACTCACAAATATTTTCTGGAATTCCTGAAGTCTCAGAGCCCTGGTGTTCGATCAGCTACATATTCAGTGTTGGGGAGTTTCATTAAACATGTACCTCATGTTTTTAACGAAGGAAATATGAAGACTCTGTCTGTCAATATACTTGGTGCTTTTCAAGAAAAGGACCCGGCATGCCACTCCTCAATGTGGGAAACAATATTGTTGTTTTCTAAAAGCTTTCCTGACAGCTGGACACTTCCCAATGTTCAGAAAACTGCAGTAAATCGATTTTGGCATTTCTTGAAGAATGGATGCTATGGATCACGGCAGGCTTCCTATCCTGTTCTAATTGTGTTATTAGATACTATAGTTGTTAAAGCAGTTCATGGGGAGCAATTTCTTCTGAGCTTCTTCCAATACCTATGGGATGGTAGGAACCCATTTAATCCTTCAACAGCAGATCGATTGGCCTTCTTCAATGCATTTAAAGAATGTTTTATTTGGGCTGTGCATAATGCATCAAGGTGCAAATTTTCCAACTTCTTTCAGAATTTATTCATATATGATTGTTATGTATCCACTACGTAACAGAATTAGGTGTTTAATTTCACTAATCTCCATATTGCAATGTTCTGTTAATTTCCTGGTTATCGGCTTTCTGTAACTTTTTTGCTTTGCAGATTTTGCAATGGGGTAGATGCCATTTCTCATTTCCAAATTGGTCTTGTTCAGAATATTCTTGTAACACTTCTGTGGCATGATTACCTTTTGGTAGTCCACCCAAAAGGTCATGGTGGTGTCTCATATGGGAATTCTATATGCTCTTTTGAAAATAACACTCAAGCTTTTCAAGAAACGAAAATGGACCCAGTGACAATCAAGTATCCTATGGGATATCTCCAGGATTTGGGGAAATGCATAATTGGAATTTTATCAGAGTTTTCTTCAAAGGAGTGTGACTTACTTGACCCTTTCTCTGCATCATTTCAAGAGGACATTTTGGAGATACTTAGGCAAGAACACCTACAGAAACTTTCTGAGCACGTTGAACAAGTTGTGAACTTTTTGATATTACTGGACGAATATGCAGTTCAGAAAGGTGAAAGGTGGCCTTTAGTGTATTTATCAAGACCAATGGTGGCAAACTCTTTTCCATTGATCAGATCTATGGTGAGTTGCAGAATGTATGTTACTTCAATGCATTCTTTGCAATTATTACTGTGAAGACCCTTCCTATCTCATGCAGAGAAGAGGGTACATACTCGTGCATGTACACATTTTGCATTGCAATGAAATTGACCCATATTTGTTTTAGTTATTTTTCATCAATAACATAAATCAATTATCCTATATTCAGGAGCCCTATGGTGCTTGTGGTTTGCTGATGACATTGTATTAATTTTTGAAACTAATGATGGATTAAATGCAAAGTTACGTTTATGGTCAGAGACCTTGGAAACAAAAGGTTTTAAAATAAGTATGACCAAAATAGAAACAAGAGCTAAATATTAGAAGATTGATTGTTGAAAGTGATTCTAAGTTGGTGATTAATTGGCTATAAAAAGAGAATATTGGGTTTTGGCATTATGTAAATGAAAAAAGAAGGTTTAAATGGTAGATCTAGAATATGGAATTGAGATTTCAGTGGGTGAAAGAAGTGCCAACTCCTTTGCTGATGTACTTGCTAAACAAGGGGTGGAAAGGGGAAACTTGTTTTGGTCTTTGTTGTAAGCTTGTGTATTTTGTTGGGGAGGGTTAAGAGAACTTATCCCTCCCTATTTCTCTTGTATCATCTTTTAAGTTTAATAAAAATTTTCTGTTGTTGATAAAAAAAAAAAGAAAAACAAGTGCAAATCAGGGTATATTTGCGATTGGATACCAAGAGATTAAAACGTGACATTTTCCATTAATTCATAACTCAGGGAACTTTGGTTCGATAATTCATAACAAGGAAGAGGTTGAGGAGGATCAAGAATGCCACCCATTGAATTAGAGTGGGATGAGAAAAATCGAGGGTTGCATTCGAAGTCTTACGTGATAGGTGAATACCACTCAGATTAAAAGGATTATTCTATAAAACAGTTGTAAGACCAGCAATGCTATATGGAGTATAGTGTTCGGCAATTAAGAACGTGTCCAAAAAATGAGTGTGGCAGAACCACAGAAATGCATATGCTGAAATGGATGAGTTCAAAAATGAAAAAGGATAGGATCATAAATGATGTCATTGGAAGGAACCTAGGAGTAGCTTCAATAGGTAATAAAATGAGTAAGATGGTTTGGTCAGACTATCTACAGAACCTGTAAGAAGAAGTGATCTTTTGCGAGTTGAAGAGGCTATAAGAGCTAGGGGCAGACCAAGAAGGTCAAGGGTTAAAGTAGTATGAAATGATTGATAAAAAAAGTAGTGAGAAAATATTTAAACACTAATAATTTAACAATGGTTTTTTTTATAAGCAGTGTAAAAGTATTATATTAATAATCAAAAGGAGGGCAAGTCACCCTCAACTCATGTACAAAAAAATGCCTGTAAGTATGCACAGATCATATACATTAAAGCATTTAAATAGCAATCAAAATAAAAGGGATCACCACTGATCAACATATGGGCAGACACTCCCACAAAAAAGCTTTGAACTACCAGCCCAACTAATCAAACTCCTTTCAACCTTTTTTTTGATAAGTCAAACTCCTATCAACCTTCCCTATTGTAACTTCCACTGTGTAAAATATGGTATGGCAGAGACATTAATAGCAAGATATAGTGCTGAAAAGAAAGAGAGAAAGAGAGGAGAGAAGAGAAGAACCACTGAACTGTCTTTGAGAGAGATTAGAATGACTTAATCTCCTCTTAGCAGTCGGCCCAGCTTTGTATTAACATTAAATAAAAAGGAAAATTACAAATATGCCCTTAATTATAAAAAGACAGTGGACTGGAGGTCCTTATTCTAAAACCATAATTACTTAACAACCCTGTCTTCCAAGTACACCTAAGATAACACTCTTTCAACATTCCCCCTCAAGCTGGTGCATATGTATCTTATAGGCCCGGCTTTTTAGTGATAAGGTTAATACGGGGACAATGTAGGGCCTTGGTCCATAAATCAGCTAACTGATCTCCTGTCTTCACAAATGGTGTATCAGTATCACTACTTTGAGTCTTCTTTTTAACAAAATGGCAATCTACCTCAATATGTTTCATCCTCTCATGGAAAACTAGGTTTGTTGCAATATGAACGGCATCCTGATTATCACAGTGTAAGTGCATAGGAGTCTTTATTGGAATCCCAATTTCATGAAGACGACTCTTGAGCCACAGTAGTTCTCCTGTTGCATGACTCCTATACTTGATTTAACCACAACGTTATGTTTCTTGCTCTTCCAAGAAATAAGATTGCCACCTAAAATACAATATCCTGTTGTTGTCCTTCTATCTGTTACTGATCTAGCCTAGTTAGCACTTGTGAACCCAAATACAGTCAAATAACCACAGTCAACTAACTTACAACCCCCATTACAAAACAAATATCTAGATGAGTAATAGTCAAGTAATTCGACTTCCCCACAAGTTTCCTGTATTGCATAGGATCATCTACTAACTCAACTTGATCTAAAACAAGTTTAGTATTAGGATCCATGGGTGTAGAAACCGGTATACATCCCTATCATACTCGTCTCTTCAAGTAAATCCAATGTATATTTATATTGTGACAGAGAGAATGTGATTGATCTCATAACTTCTATGCCAAGGAAATATCTCAGTTTGCCAAGGTCTTTAGTATGAAGTCTTTCTTGTAGAAAGCGCTTCAATTCACTAATGCCTTGTGAGTTGCTTCCTGTGATAACAATGCCATCTACATAGATAACAAGGATAATGATACCATCACTAGAAATCTTGCCAAGCACAAAATAGTTAGGCAAACATCTATGTAATCCAAATTCCACAACCACTTCACTAAACTTGCCAAACCAAGCACATGAAGATTGTTTTAGACCATACAATGCCTTCTTTAACTTGCAAAACATACCCCTATACTTCCCTTAAGCAATAAACCCAGGTGGTTGCTTCATGTATACTTCTTCCATTGTACCATCAAAGTTAAATTTCACAACATATGTCCATCGACATCCCACGGGTTGCTTACCAGAAGGGAGAGGGACTAAATCCCATGTTTTGTTTTGATGAAGAGCGAACATTTCTTCTTTCATAATTGTCCTCCACCTAGGATCAGACAAGGCTTTATGTAGGAAAATTAGGGATAGAGAAGGTGATAATGACAAGGTGATCAGACCTCATGTAGGGATGGGTAAGTAACAAAAGAAAGTGTAGAAGGTGATAATGACTAATAAGAAGCAAAGTGGATAATAGGATGTGTGGTACATAAACACTCCATGGGTAAGTCAAGGCCTGAAGGAGGCTGCACAATTGTAGTAGTAGAGGGTTAATAGGACCTGCAGACAGCAAAGCAGATGAAGTTGGAGCTGAAGCTAGCCGTGTCTGTAGATATATCTGTTGAATAGGTGGCCTAGGTAGAGTAGTATTGGTGAGCTCTGGAGAAGAGTCACAAAAAAGAACAGGGAGAAGGAGAGAACCACCCTAGGGAGAAGGAAGAGAAGCACTAGAAGAGAAATATGCAGTAGACCCATGAAAGGTAACATCAACACTAACACTAACAAAGTGACAACATAGAGAAGGACTATAACATTTGTACCCTTTCTAAGTTTTTGAATATCTCAAAAAGACACACTTTACCACACAAGGTTCAAGCTAGTCACTTTGATAGTCAAAGAGATGAGAAAAGCAAACACATCCAAAAATGCGATGTGGTAAATTAAACAAGGGAGCATCAGGAAACAATACAGAATGGGGCATCTTATTGTGTAGGACTACTAAAGGAATTCGGTTAATGAGATAACAGGTAGTAAGAACAACACCACTCCAATAAATTTTTGGCACATGCATCTGAATAAGGAGGGCCCATGTAACGTCTAGTAAATGGCAGCTTTTGTGTTTAGCTACACCATTCTGTTGTGGTATATCAACAGAAGTTGATGTAGGATTCCATGCTCATTATAGAATTTAGTAAATGGTGAAGACATGTATTCTTTAGCATTATCAGATTGAATAACACAAACAATGGAGCCAAATTAGGTTCTTATTTCCATAAAGAAGGATTTGAATACAAAAAATAATTTGAAATCATTTCAACTTAATCCAAATTTCTTGCTGATAAAAAAAATAGAAAATAATTCAGACCTCTCCTTTAACAAAGTGTGGGGGGATCTAAAACAGCTCGAAGAGCTTTGCAAAATGGCACCACACCTGATAATAGGAGCAATGAATTAGCAGGTGTTGGATAGACTCTTGAGACCAAACCACACAAGCTGCAAACACTATCAACCTCAAATCCATGCTTCAAAAGAGCTTCAGCAGTCTGCACCTTCTCTCTTGCAGCCAGTCACACAAAAATTTGATTTTAGATGGGACTTTTTGACCAATCTACTTTTTGTCCTGTGCCCAGCATAGCTAAATGAAAAGATCTTGTAGAAAAATTGCAATCTTTTTCTGGGCTGTTTGTATACTGCCTAGCAACTCACCCAAGATTTCAACCTCCCAATCATTCAGGTTCGTCTGAAAGCTTGGAACCCACACCACCTGACCATTAACCAACTAAAAGAAGTCTTTTACAGCACTGTCTTCATTACAGGCTAAGGAGAATAGTGAAGGAAAAGCCTCTGCCAGCGGTTGATTTGCACACCACCTGTCTTTCCAGAAAAGGACCCGACTCCCATCTCCCACTTTAAAAGATATGTGATTTTGAAACAAAGGGAGCTGAGCCATTATTCCTTTCCAAATGCTTGTTCCAAAAGACTGTTATGGCTGAAGGGAAACCCAATCAATCGGGGCGCTACCATATTTGCAGTGGATGACTTGGCGCTAGAGATTATTTGGTTCCTCCACAAATCTCCACAACCATTTACAGAGAAGGGCATCGTTCATCTGTCTCAACCTCTTATAGCCAACTCCAGCTAACTCCTTTGGTTCACATATGGAATCCCATGCAACCAATTGCAGCTTCTTCTCATTGTTTGGGCCATCCCATAAGAAATCTCTCCTTAATTTTTCAAGTGATTTTGCAACTGGATCTAGCAGAGAGAACAGTGAAAGATAATAGATCAGGAGGCTAGACAAGACACTCTGAATTAAGGTGACTTTTCCCCCTTTGGACAGCAACCTACCCTTCCACTCGGGGAGCCTTTTCTTGTATCTTTCAGTGGTTGGGTCCCACAGGGAACTGGATCCATATTTCCCTCTGAGAAGTAAGCCTAGATATTTAGAAGGCAAAGTACTCACTCTGCACCCCAAATGACTTGCTAATTCAACTATGTGAGGCACCTCAACCACTGGGATGATTTTGGTTTTTTGAAGATTAATCTTCAGCCCAGAGGCCACTTCAAAACAGATAAAAAGGTACCTAAGAAACATTAAGTCTGCTTGAGCAGCCCTTGAGAAAACTAGGGTGTCATTTGCAAATTGCAATAAAGATATCATTGGACCTCCAGTTCCAACCGAGAAGCCTTCTAAGTAGCCTCCTTCCACAACCTTGTTTATCATTCTACCCAAAGGATCCACCACTAAAGAGAATAGAAAAGGTGAAATCATGAAAGAGGGTCACCCTGCCAAAGTCCTCTTTCTCCTTCGATGTAGCCTACTGGGACTCTGTTAACAATGACTAAGAACCATGGATCACTAATTCATCCAGCCATCTACTTCCAAACTGTTCCAAAGCCCATCCTAGTCAAGACATAATTAACAAAAAGCCAATGCATATGGTCATAAGGCCTTTTCTAAGTCAATCTTGCAAACCAAGCCCAACTCCCCTTGTCATGTCTTGAATCAATGCACTCGTTTGCAATAAGTGGGCCATCCAGATTTTGTCTCCCGTCCATGAATGCACCCTTTGATAGAATAACCAACTTCCCCACTGCTTATCAGGTTAACAGGTCTGAAATCCCTCAACTCAGTGGCACCAGACACTTTCGGTGTTAGAGAAATGAAGTTTGACCTTGCACCTTGAGAAAGCTCTGCATTTTGTTGGAAGTCCTTGTTTGTGGCTAGCAGATCCACCTTTATGATATTTTAACACCTTGTATAAAAGCCTATAGAGAAGCTGTCCATCCAGGCCCGAGGTTTTGTCCCCTTGCAAGTCCTGTAAAGCCTGCTAAATTCTTCAAAATCACTCTCCAGCCAAGCACGACCCCTTTCCTCTAGATGAGCAAACTTGATACCATCTAACCGGGGCTTTTGCATTCCATTGACAAATAATGCTTCATAGAAGTCTACAACAAAGGCGATGTGATTGTGTTCTGCCTTCTTCTGGCATTAGCCATCTGGTGAAGAAACTGGGTGTTCTTGTCTCCCACTTCAACCACAATGTCTTGACTTCTGTCACCAAGATACTTCCTCCATATGACATACCCTACTGAATTCATCTCTTGCCAGACCCCTCCTTTGGATTTTGTTCTTGGACAAGTTGCTCGAAGCTTCCTTCTCATCTAACTCAGCAATGGTGTTTAGCATCCTCTCCTTTTGGCGAACCAAGCTCCTCAGGATTCCAGATCTTGATCTTTGATTTCAAGAATCAGAGCTTCTATTTGAAATGTAATGATGCGTCATCAACTTCCCACCATTTTTTAACCTTACCATAGAATCCAGGAACTTCCAAGAGCATTAGTTCAAAACGAATAGCAGCTGGGCATCTAGAAACCTCAGCAGACAATAGAAGCAGAGGAAAGTGGTCTGAAGCAGGTTAAGGCAGGGCTCATTGCACTATATCTGGAAAAGCCTGTTACCGATCAATTTTGATTAGAAAGTAACCCAACATTGATAGAGAAAGGTTTGTCCAAAAATTACTCTCTGTAGTTGCAAGTCGATCAACCCCGTTCTATTCACAAAGTCTCCAGAAACCAATGTATCAGTTGTAAACCATAGAACCTCCTTTCTTCTCAAAGGAAAACCTCACCACATTGAGAAGTCTCCAGCTATGCACCAAGGCAGCGACTACCGAATGGACTTCTTCAATCTCCCTCCAAAGCTTCCCCCCTCTGGTTGCTCTCTGTTGGACCATAAACCCATGAGAACACCCACTATCTCCATTAGATGCAGCAAAGACCTCTGAAAGAGAGGTCCCCACAAAAAACATAGTGGGCCCTAATTACTCTTGGATCCCAAAGGATGAGGGTACTACCAGAGGTCCCATACAGTAGGTCTTCCAAACCACTGACAATCACCGCTACCCTAAATTCATTCGATCACTTTTCCTTTTTAGACTCTTGTAGCATGACCACATATGGGCGCCATTTTTGGATCACTGCTTTTACAACACTCTATTTCTCTAGGACCCTTAAGCCCCTCACATTCCAAGATAGCAATTTCATTGTCAATGTGTAGAACCTCTGCAATCGTTGATTGTTGTCCTTGTGCTCCACTACAATGTAATTTGCTTTGGCTCCTCACAACACTTTGCCCATGGCATCCATTGGCCAGCCTTGGATCCCTGCCACCTCTGCTAAAGATTTTCCTTCTGCAAGCTGTGGTTCACCGACACCATTGGTCTAACATCATTTGAAACACCCCTACTTTTCCATAATCAGGGTGGAGTCGTACACCTCAAGCCAGCCATCCTGTCGATCAGATTTGGCATGGTTGTCAGAACCATTTAAAGTTCCTTCTTCATATCCTGCTCTGGAACTGGGAAATTGGCCATGGATATGGCACTAAACAGAGCGGAATGGAAAAACAGGGCTTATGTAGCCAACCCCCATATACTGATATAAGGCTTAGATGATGATGATGAACAGAAATCAATTCAAGAGAAAAGAAACTATGGCTGTAATTCATTATCCTAAATTAATAAAATTATGGCTTACTGCTGAACGGTTGGGTTGCTCCATTGCAATCTGGGTGGCTGGGTGACCAAGGTTCAAATCTTGGAAACAGCCTCTCTGTATGTGCAGGGGCAAGTCTGCGTACATCGTCCCTCCCCAGCCAGACCCCACAATTGCAGGAGCCTCATGCACTGGGCTGCCCTTTACTGCTGAATGTGAGGTCATCCCCATATAAGCCTTCCATGCTCAAAACTAAATGACCTTATGGGCATACCAGGAGGCAACCAAGTGTTCTTCCTCAACCACCAATCCTTGCTGCAGAAAAAAAAATACATAACAGTATGCCAACTTCAAAATTTTAGATAAATAATACATCCCACAAAACTCTCTCTTTCTAAGTGCCTTGGCTGGCCAGGTGTTAACGAGGGATTGAGAAGAGACACAAATTTCCCCCTTAGGTGTTAACAGGAAAGTAAGAATCATGTAAACCGTATATCTGAAAGTGTATATGGAAATGGAACATGTTCTAGATTAATATTTCCATGAGAATATATCACCAGAGCATCTTCAAGATGTCAGACAACAAGGATGTTTGTGGTAAAAGTTTCAGATATTGGATACAAAGTTGAATGAGTTTAAATATCCTCTGCTATGATATTGAAACCCTTATCATGTGCTACACATTAACATTAATTTGGGGTTTTGCATAGGATGTGTGCAGCCATTTATCTCCTGAATATTTTATTTTTTATTTTTTTGTTTTTTTTTGTACTCATTTATTCATCCTGCCAACAGGATTCACCAGATGCTGTCAAACTTTTATCTATTACTGTTTCAATATTTGGACCACAAGAAGTAGTATCAAAACTCTCTATTGGTGGTCAAAGACATCAGAGCAGTGATATTTCTATCGGAGGTGACAAAAAATCAAAATCAGAGAATTTTCTGCAATCTTTCAAGGAAATATTTGTTCCTTGGTGTTTATATGGAAACAACCGCTCCACTTCTGCTCGATTGGATCTTTTACTTGCTTTACTTGATGGTGAACATTTCTCTGAACAATGGCCTAGCATTATCAAATATGCAATACTAGAACATCCTGGAACTGAGCTCTTATTAGATTTTGACCGCATTGACATGTTGGCAATGCTCATGGAGAAGGTGAGAGGAGAAATCAATAAAAAGAAGGCTGTACCAGAGTTAGGTCATTGGCATGGCTCCTACCTAGAACTATGGCAACATAAACTTTTAGATTCAACTGCTGTGTCAATTGCCTGCTGCTCTCCTTCTCTCTGGATATCCCATGCTCGCTTTCTAGGGTAAGTATAGTGTTCACCTTAGTCTAATGTATTTTATTCCCATTATCCAACTTATTGTTGCTCATAATAAGTGCTTCTACAAGAAGACATTTTTTGATGCTTAGATTGTCTCATGAAATGGATCTATCTATTTTTCCTACCATAATAGAATGAGTCGGGAATCATATGTACAAGCAATTAGAAAAAAAATTGCCATCAGTATCATGAAGAAATGAATAATTTGGAATTTGTATATATGGACAATTTTCACTATACTAATGTCTAGAATTTGCACCATATTTATAGAAAAATGAGTTCTTTAAAACAAATCTTCTGCGGTTATTCCACTCAAGATGGTGCATCCATATATATCTTCTACTTGAAGGGAAGGATTCTCTGGATAAGCCTGAGGGCATCATGAGCATTGGTGCCATATACTAGTTAGAATTTTTTTTTTCAGTTTAAAACATTTCAAGGTGCTGCAGATTGTCTTGTAAATGAAGGAATGGATAAGAAAAGCAATCTTACATGGACCTCTTGATTTTTGAGTTGTGTAATGTTTTACTAGCTGACTCTGTGGTTTTTTCTTTTGTAAGACCCTAATATAATAGTCTCAGTAACTTACCAAAAAAACATTTAAAGTTGCCACCTGCCAAGGAACAGAGAAGTGGAAATTAAATATTTCAAGGGATAAATAATGTGTTTTTATGAGAACATGATAATCTAGAGAAAGCACCTATCTTTTATGATTGTCCAAAATCAATCATAGATAGATTAGTGGAACAAAGTTCATTGTCTCTACTTCCCTCTTGGTGTAGGGTTGGTACAACACTATCCATAGCCACTTGTGGTGCACAACACTATTAAATTGAGTATTCAGCCAATCCAGAAAGAGCATTATACATTGTTATGAATCTGATCTGAGTATGCATCCAAAATCTGAGGATACTCATGGGATATCTTTGTAGTGCTACATCAGTACATTGACGGTGGATATTTTTTGTTTGTACATTCCCATTGTACAGCCTCTAGTTGTGCAGGGATATTTATTAATCTCTTCCCCTTGTTTTGATGCCTACTGGATCTCCTTAATGACATTCCAGATATATTTGTAGATCAATTCCCAGCCCTTTCCATGAGGAGAGAGGGTTATGTGGAGGTGCGTTGGCTAACCTATTCTTGTCTGTTACCCAGGTACAGCAACATGACTGGACAAGGTGTTGGATATGGAGTTTACACTAAAAGTTAGGTATTCCACGTGATACAGTTTCATTTGGACATTAAACTTTACAAGGAATAGATGGCCATTAATAGTGTTTTAGGTGTGCACCTCACTCCACAGAGCTATTGGGCTTAATTTGAATTGAAATTTGTCACGGAATGCAGGACCTCCAGGAATAGGCAGCTTATTTAAGAGACATGGGGGACCTGATCAGAGAAAAGACCATGACATTCCTTGGGAAGTGTAGAGAACACTGATGTGGGCCCCACGGCTGTGGTCCCCACTGTGTTTGTATGACAGCATGTGTAACCTTTGTTAGTCATGTCAGTGTTAGTTGGTAGTTATCTTAGACAGCT